TTTTTTGTTTCTTTGTAGTTTGTCCGACTTTATGATAGCATTTGAAGATTAATAATATATATTTGTTGAAAAACACATTTTATGTTTCATGAACATTATATCTTCTTTTGACCAATTTGAGTTAGTGACCCCAAATGGGGGTTTTGGTCGAGAAAAATAAACCTCAGTGAGGTGATTGTAATGTTTCGACAGGGTATTTGTAATTTTGATCCAAATTTGGGGTTTTTATAATTAGATTAGGGTAATAATTTGCAATAAAATCCACAAATGATGTAATATTTAATACCTGGACAACATTTTATTTGACTGATTTTGAGTAAGTGCAGAGGTAAAGCATCAATTTTCTGAAAGGATAAAAGATGATTCAACTGCATCTTTCCAGCATAGCGAAGTTCAAAGTCAGCCTTTGCAAACTGGCCCTCAAAATCAACATCCTCAAAATCAACATGGTCTATCGGATGTTGAATTTTTGCAGTCTCCAAATTTAGAATACATGACACTGGCCTCTCAAATTTTGCTTTGTTGTGAGGACGCTTTTTACTTATACCCTGTAAAATCATTCATTCAGGTATTCTGTTGTGCTAATTCATCTGAGCAGACTGAAAATATTTTTTCTTGCACAATCTTATGAGAAACTTTGGTTTTAGGGGGATACAACATTTGTGCATGAATTGGAGCTTGAGAAACCATGTTCTTGGACAGAAATCATCAAGAGAAATGAAGAAAAATATGGACTTCTTGTAGTTTATCAAACTGGAGAAATTGAGTTAAGGTGTATTATTTTGTTTGTGTGATTTCTTTCTAGGTTGTAATAGTTTCTTATATGTCAGCTTTGTTTTTGTATTATGTGAAGCTACTAGGAAGTCCAGAGTTTGGTGGTTATTGAAATTCTGGAATCATTCTCTTTGTATGAATTATGTTAAAACTTTTCCATCCTAAGAGAGATAGCTTATGTTTGAAAGATTACATGATAGCTATTGAAAATGAGGCAATGAGAGAAATACGAGCATAATGATGTACTATTATTGGTGCGATTAGGTTAGCCAATTGAAAAACTTCTTTGTTTTGCTGATAGCTACACTAAATCTCAGCTTGCCAAAAAATATAAAACTTAAATCTTCAGTAGGCACTGTAATTCATATTTTAGTAGCAGTATGATTCTTTATAATAACACTATACTGCATGTTAATTATGAAAAAGTGAAATGACTCTGTTATGAAGTTTAACGAAAAGATTCAGCTTATATGGCAAGAATGGGATTTTGATTGTTTGATAGCTAGATTGATTGACATCATTCACATGTGTACTCACAAACACTTGCTTGATCTCAATTCCACAGATTGAGAAGCATAGCATGATTTTACAATGGCTATCATATAATAAATTTTAACAGTGTTTGTTAATTTGTAAAATTAAGTATTAATTCGTGATTTGTATTTTTCAGGTCATTACCAGAGCTTGAAACATTGGGCAAAACATCGATGATGTCAATATTACGGTGGAACTTCAGGACCAATATGAACAAGACGATGAGTGTTTCTGAGAAAGGGCAGATTACCCTGGTTAGTTCCTGTACAATGATCTCAGTTTACTATATTGGTTATAGTTTCCTGAATAGAACTTCGTTGTCCTTGTATAGAAAATAAACGGCAGTAGAACAGTTTAAGTTACAAAGTTCAAGGTGCAAAGAAAATTTTCTCTTTCATTTTACATGTCCATTTTTGGAATGTCGTTTGTTCTGTACTGAAAGATAAATAGGCTTACCAGTGTTCTTCCAGGACATAATCTTTTGTGCGTTTACAAATGTGATAAATCTGTTTCAATCTCAATCACATAAGATATGTGACTTGCAACTGGCAATGTTTGCATTCTCTAGGTCAGTGGGAATGAATATGCATTTGTATCACTTTTGGCATCTGATAATGAATTCAGGTAATTATTCCTTTCTTCTGTTTCCTCAGGCTGTCTTCCTTCATTTTTCTCCTTTTTTTTTTTTTTTTATGACTAGAATATTGGCTAGTTATATTGATAAAAAAATTATTTTCTAGGATTCCCGAGACTTTACCCTGCTTACATGACGAAGTCCTTGCTGCTGCTGGTGTTCCTGAAGCCAAAATTTCCCAAAGCCAGAGAAAGGCAATAGTCATAAACATTGATCTTTTGTTACAATCGTTATACTATTATTATTTATGATTTTTTTAAATATTTTCATTAACTCTCAAAGAATACATTTTTCTGCATGCCAGAGTGGCGTGCCTGAGTTTGTCAGTAATTTGATGAAGGGTTTGAAAGGGGTCAAAGAAGAGCAGGATATAAATTACAATGAAACCCATGAATTTTTGACTGCGCATTTCGAAAAAATATTTTCAAGGTTTCCATTCTCAGACCCCTTAGATGCACTTGACATAGAAGACTTGGAACTCCAAATAGGTGAGTTTACTTGGCCTGTAGGGAATAATGAACCAGAGAATGATTTTTTCCTCTAACAGTTTGACAATATTTTGCAGATGACATAGACATTGACGAACCGTTACCTGTTCCTTCTGCATCATCCTCCCAAGATGTTACTCATGAAATCAAAAGTAAACAAAAAAAAAGTTATTTTTCTTTCAGCTTAATTAGACACACCCCATCACTAAGGGTAGCTCGACTATGAAAAAATAACCCAGTTTCATTTCAACATTAAACATAACCCCCTTGAGGTTTGTACATCTGAAAGATATATTTTTTTCGACTAGTATGAATCTCAAGGGTGTGCATGTAATTAACCCCTTTTTCTTTTCGACACTACTTCCATTACTTTCTGAACCATTTATTTTGCTTATCCAGTGATAGGAACTGAGAGAGAAAGACTGTTTGAAGGTAGTTCCACTGATACCAAACCAACTGTTCGAACACGTGAAGAAATTATTGCGAAATATAGGAAGACAGGAGTAAGATTGTCGTTCGTCAAGTAGCTTATACTTGTCAAGAATCTTCAATGGAAGTTTGTTGGGTAACTGTGTAGTTGGTTTACAGGATGTGGCAGGTGCAACATCAGAAGCAAAAGATAAACTTATTGAACGACAGGAAAAGCTCGAGGTAATCTCCCTGAAATCAAAGCAGATTATATGTTTTTGCTTCTTAAGGATTCATAGGAAAAAACAGCAAGTCAGTGACATTTCTTCCATTTATGCAATATTTTAGGGTTAGCTACAAGTAATATCCTTCCGATTTATTTTTCCGTGCGGTGAATCAAACTGCATAAAAATTAACATTTGAAAGCACATAAAGTTTATTACCTAAAATATTTAATTCTCAAGACAACTAACAATTAACATGTATATGGAAAGTGTTCTATGATTTTTTTGAAAAAGACGTCTAAAAGTAAATGTTATGTTATTCTCATCGAATGACTTAGTTCATTAATCCTACACAAATGAAAAATGGATGAAGATTTCAATACATAGATAATGAAAATTACATTAATTTTTGTAATAGAATGCAATAAATATCTTTTTGTCGGGGTTGCAGATATTAGTACACAAACAATAAAAATCATTTCAACTTTTATAATACAATGCAATAAATATTCTTTTGTTAGGATTGTACCTACTTTCACCTAATACATATGTTGTTTAATGAATCAAGAGTCCTTTAAAAATTCAAATAAAGTCCTTCAAATACTCTTTAAAAAGAATTGCAAAAAAATATTTTCCTCTGTGTTTTAACTGAAATATTTTGAGCGTTTGCACAAATGGTGTATGCATATGATAAGGTTCCAAAATATCCGTATATTAGCATGTCTTTAAAAATAGTAGATATTCTTTAATATTCAAAATTTAACTTTATGAGAATACCCTAATATCGTTTTAATTAAGATATACTTAATATCATGGTATTTTGATGCGCATCACCATGATTATATAATTCATTGTCTTTTGTTTTTTTATCATCCTTTTATTTTATTTTTTTAAATTTTATACATATATCGCTAATGTATAACTATACACAACTATTTTTTTGTTTTTGTTATCTCATTGTTAGAATAAAAATGGTTAACCCAATTGTATCTAATCAATTTGATTGTAAGTTGTAAGGTCTATCGCATTTGAAAAAATATTCTCTTTCTTATTTTTAATATTTTTAAATCACGAGGTTTATTTTTATATTATCATTCTGAGGATGTTAAACATTTAAATGATCTTTATAAATGCTATTTATTTATTTGANTTTAAAAGAAGTTTTAAGCAATCAAATATTTAATTATTAAAACACTCTATAATATTAATTTTAAGTATATCTTGTTAACAACCTACAAAATTTTTGTGATATGTCACCAAATTTGAAAATTTATTTTTTTCTTGATTACTTCAAATTATTTCCAGCAAAAATGTTTTTAAAAAAATATGATTATAGCTTTCCTTTAAAGTAATTTTCAAAATATTTCCTTAATTAATAAGTCAAATAATTTGATTAAAAAGTAACTTTCTAATTTTGATTACTCCAACCACTCTCTATATATATATGGAGAGAGAGAGAGAGAGAGATTACAAAAGACAACGGTATATTTTTTAGAAAAATGCTACAAGTACATAATAAATGTACATAGAGGTGTACATAACACCCACATAGAGTTGGGTCCACTTAATTTTTTATTTTTGGTAGGACCCACTCAATGTGAATGTTATGCACACCTCTATGTAAATTATTATGTATCTATAGCTTTACTATATTTTGTATGTATACCCTAACAAACAAACTGCATCCTTAATACAAGTATTTCTAATGGCATGATTGGTATGATTAAATGACATAAGAATAAAATTGGTATTCACTTACTCATTCTTAATCCTAATCATATGATTGGTTATTTCTTAGGAAAGAATGACAATTTCAATGAGAATTGAAATACCGTGTCTAATGCATAGGTTTACCTATTCCCATATCTTAAAAATTTGATTCTTTACAAAATAAAACTAACAGATAACAATAATAATACATATATAATATCCCTTCCTATATATTAATGCCGATTCAACTTGTTAACTTTTGGTGTTACGTAATACTTTATCAATTATGGTGTTTCGTAATCTATGTATCAATTTTCGTTAATTGATTTACATTTGGATTCTATTTGTAACTATTTGGACTTTTAAATTATAAAACAATTGACTAACTTAAATTATAGATACATTAAAAGTTAATAACTTTTATATTTAGTATTAGTTTTTCATGTATAGTGTATCAAATTAATTATCTTTTTATGAGCTTCGATATGATACCCATATTTCATATATAAAATAATTATAATTTTTAATTTTTTTATTATATAATCAAATCATTAATTAAAAAATGTTAGTATTTACTAGAAATAGTAAGAATTTTCAGCCAAAAGAATTCTTGTTGACTTAATATGGTTCAAAACAAGCTTGGGTAATGATCATATCACAAAATCCTCCAAAAATTTCACACTTTTCTTTATAAGATATTCAGTAACGATCATCTCAGGAAATTCTCTCCAAAACTTTTACATTTTCTTTATAAGACATTCTAAAGCATTGGAAATTTTAAGTGCTAAACATAATTAAATTTAAAATACATTATAATATTGTTAAATATTTTTTTGAATACGAGATATTTTTTTATATTCATAACAAGACTCTCATTTAAATTACATCCGTCAAACATGATTTAAATTTGAACAGGAGATAATATTTATCTCCATAACACAAATATCCTATATCGAGGTCCTGGAATGCAGAACACTTGCGCAAAGACTATCAGTAGTCGTTTTTATGTCAAGTTATTTCCCTTATTTCTAGCGTAGGATTTGCAAGTTGAGATTTCGTACTCAAACTATTTCAATAAAAGTTGCATTTGATTTTATTTTCGACATTGTTGGAACAAACGGTAGAATTGCAATGGAACTATTGCCACTATCTCCATTGATAGAATTGCAGTGGAAAACCATTGCCGCTATCAAAGTTCAAAATGATTGCAGTAGAGAACTATTGCCCCTGCCACTAGTCCTTGGTCGTAGCTTCACAACGCTAGTCATTCAATAGAGTGATCTATAAAACTAGTGAAGGAGCACCCAAGGTCGGAATTGGGACTACCCAGTTCTTAAAGACGAAGGATTAAAGCAAAGTGGTACATAAGTTAGTGAATACAAAAGACCAAGGTCCACAATCATAAAAGAACAACAACAAGTTCGGAAGTGACAACAAAACAACAAGTTCGAAAGTGGCAACAAAACAACAAGAAGTTTTTAAGTGACAACAAAACAAAGAAAAGTCCTAAAATCACCAACAATCAAATTTCTCTAGAGGTTGAGGGGTCGGCATCCTCTTCGCCTGTCAGGGGATCAACAGACTCAGAACAAGGCGACTAAGGTCAAATGAAGGTTCAAGGGTGCCAACCAGCTACCTGCAGGCGTCGAGCCAATAGACCGAGTTCACCTCTGCAGCGTCCTCAAGTCTTCTTACTGGCGTCCTCCGCCTTCTTGTTAGCTTCGTCAAGGGTCAAGTCCATCCCCTTAATCCCCAAGCGCGTCACCTCGGTATAATGTCGCTCGTTTTCCTCTTCAGCCTTCGCCTGAAGGGCCTCGCTACGCTTGAGCAGGTCCCTCATCTCAAGAATCCTCCGGCTCGTATAGGAAATCTTGTCAACCATGCCTTGGTGAGTGCGAATGAGCTGAAAGATATAGAAAAATCTTAATAAAATTTCGGAGGCAACATTAGAAGAATAATGAGAATTTTGGTTACCTTGGCTAAGTACTCATAGCAATGTCGCGACCTGAAGGCCCTCTCTCCACGGGCAAAAGGTGGCTCATCATCTCCATAGCAGTGTCGCGGTTCAATAGACTGTCGTCGATGCTGACATCCCACTCCAGAATGAACTTATCCGACGGACGAGAGATATGGTCAAAGCCTCCGCCAATAAGCATCTGGGCACCTCCGCTTCCGCTGCCCTCGCCAGTGGCAATGTCCTCCTCGGGAACTGGAGACAACTGAGGAGGAGTAGGCCCCGAAATACGGGGTCGTGGCACCTCGGGGGAACTCCCGACTCTTACCTCTGGGTGGCATCAGTCATCAACTTGCTCCTGTTCACCTTGATCTTGATTCTCTTGGCTTTGTTCACCTCCATACCTAAGCAAAGAATGAAAGAGATGGGTAAATATCAAGATCAAAAAATAAGAGTGCATGCAATACTTATTAAAGACTAAAATTGTCGACCATAGTACGAACCAACCGTAGTCTTTAATAAGTATTGCATGCACTCTTATTTTTTGATCTTGATTTTTACCCATCTCTTTCATTCTTTGCTTAGGTATGGAGGTGAACAAAGCCAAGAGGATCAAGATCAAGGTGAACATGAGCAAGGTCATAGCTGATGCCACCCTGAGGCAGGAGTCGGGTGTTCCCCCAAGGTGCCACGACCCCGTATTTCGGGGCCTACTCCTCCTCAGGTGTCTCCAGTTCCCGAGGAGGACATCGCCAGCGGCGAGGGCAGCAAAAGCGGAGGTCTCCAGATGCTTATCGACGGAGGCTTTGACCATGTCTTTCGTTTGTCGGATAAGTTCGTTCCGGAGTGGGATGTCGGCGTTGACAACAGTCTGTTGAACCGCGACACTGCTATAGATATGATGAGCCACCTTTTGTCCCGTGGAGATAGGGAGGGCCTTCAGGTCTGAGGGGTTGTCTGATGACGGCTATGAGTACATAGCCAAGGTAACCAAAATTCTCATTATTCTTCTTATGTTGCCTTCGAAATTTTTCTATATCTTTCAGCTCCTTCACACTCACCAAGGCGTGGTTGACAAGATTGCCTATGGGAGCCGGAGGATTCTTGAGATGAGGGACCTGCTCGAGCGTAGCGAGGCCCTTCAGGCGAAGGCTGAAGACGAAAACGAGCGACATTATACTGAGTTGACGCGCTTGAGGGCTCTCATCGAAAAGATCGATCTGAGGATTAAGGGGATGGACTTGAGCCTTGGCGAAGCTAACAAGAAGGCGGAGGATGCCAGTAAGAAGGCTGAGGACGCTGCAGAGGTGAACTCGGACTATTGTCTCGACGGGTTCAACGCCTGCAGGCAGCTAGTTTGCACCCTTGACCCTTCATTTGACCTTAGTCGTCTTGTTCTTAAGTCTGTTGATCCCCTGACACGCGAAGAGGATGCCGACCCCTCAACCTCTAGATATGTTTGATTGTTGGTGATTTTAGGACTTTTCTTTGTTTTGTCGTCACTTCCAAACTTGTTGTTTTGTTCTCACTTCCGAACTTGTTGTTTTGTTACACTTCCGAACTTGTTGTTCTTTTATGATTGTGGACCTTGGTCTTTTGTATTCACAACTTAGATACCACTTTGATTTAATCCTTCGTCTTTAAGAACTAGGTAGTCCTAATTCCTACCGGGGTGCTTCACTAGTCTTATTGATCACTCTATCGAATGACTAGCGTTGTGAAGCTACGACCAAGGACTAGTGGCAGGGGCAATAGTTCTCTACTGCAATCGTTTTTAACTTTGATAGCGACAATCCTTTTCCACTGCAATTCTATCAATGGAGGTAGTGGCCATGATCGTCCATTGCAATTCTACCGTTTGTTCCAACAATGTCGAAAATCAAATGCAACTTTTATTGAAATAGTTTGAGTACGAAGTCTGAACGTACAAATCCTACGCTAGAAATAAGGGAAATAACTTGACATAAAAACGACTACTGATAGTATTTGCGCAAGTGTTCTGCATTCCAGGACCTCGGTCTAGGCTTTCTGTCTAAGTCCTCCAGCTTATAGGTGCCTTCTTTCACAGCTGCTCGGACACGGTAAGGGCCATCCCAATTTGGCGATAACTTGTTGTGCCTTTCCTAGTAGTTGAACTGAGCTTTCCTGAGGACAAGCTCTCCCGGTCGATAGTAGCGTGATTGAACCCGACTGTTGTAATACTTGGCCACCCTTTGCTAATATGCAGCCATCCTAATATGCTCCTCAATCAGATCAATGTTATTCCTCATACCTTCTGCATTTTCTCCTACTTCAAACGTTTCTACCCTAGGACTTGGGGTTCCGATTTCCACGGGTAGGATCAGCCCATAAACCTTTAGCCTCGTCAATGCTTGCAAGATAGTTCTGTTGGTGACCTCTGCCTGGACTGATGGTATGTTACCGAAGTTGTCCTGAGGTCTATAGACATACCTTTGCAAAACGCTCGTTATCAAACTGCTTTCCCTTGTTAGTGATGAGAGCTCTTGGGACTCAAAACGACACATGATGGACTTTTCCACGTGAAACCTCGGATCTGCTTCTCAGTGATATGAGCCAAAGGTTCTGTTTCGACCCACTTCGTAAAATAGTCAATGGCCACGATCAGGAACTTTCTTTGCCCGGTGGCCTATGGAAAAGGTCCTAAAATGTCCATCCCCCATATTGCAAATGGCCAAGGGGTGAAGACTGAGGACATGAGAACAACTGGAGGATGTTCGCATGCCTTTGACATATTTCGCATCATTTGATTGTCGCAGACTCCTTCGTGCACCTCTCTTAATGCATAATCAACCTCATCCGGCCTAAGGCATCTAAGGTATGGCATGCTGTACGACCTCTTGTACAAGTGGTTGCCTATGATCGTATACCGGGCTGAGCGTTGAATGATCTACTTTGCCTCACACTAGTTATCGGGCAATTTTCCATCCTTGATGTAGTCCATAATAGGATTAACCCAACTGAGTCCTTGGTTCAGACTCATCACTTGCTCTTCCTCTATGCTGCGATGAATGACTTCTACTGTTACGATTTTGATGAGCTCGTGATAAGGCGATGTCGCGAGCTTAGACAGTTTGTCTGCCTTGGTGTTTTCGGTCCTTGCAACTTGTTGAACCCCACAATATTCAAACAAAGAGACCAAGTCTTTCACCTTAGTTTGGTACCTGATCATGGGGTTCTTAGCTTCAGTCTCCACAACTTTGACACACGACTAATTGTGAGTCACTATGACATTGCACACGTCTCCAACGCCATCTTTAGTCCGGTTATAAGAGCCTCATATTCGGCCTGACGTTTGTCCGAGGACACGTGGCGACTATGTATGCTCTGACGTCCTCCTTGGTGTGTCTCCTTTGCTCCGACGTCTGCAAAACAGAATCCCAGGATTGTCCTAGGGGTAAATCTTCCAATGCCTAAGTTAGTATCGGTTTTAGATTTAGGCTGGCGGATGTAGAGTATTGGGTAGAAGAGAGTGTGTGTCCTTACCTTGACTTAGGTCATTCTTTTATAGAGGTCGGATGACCTAGGTCTTCGCTTAGTTTAGTCCACCAATTGGGCCACCTTTGGAACTTGGGCCCAAAGTAAGGCACTTGAGGACATTGGGCCTAAAGTAAGGATCCTCAAGACCTTGGGCCTAAAATGAGACTCCTGGCCTAAATTGAGGCCCAGCCTCGGCCTTGATCTTGGACACCAACGGTCCTCGGAACACACGTGTCTTTATTCTCTCGAGCCATGTGTCGTCTAATAAACATATATTTTTTCCCTTATCATGTCGAATAGGGATATCCATAAAGGATATGTGTACCCTATAATTATGAGATTTGATCATCCTAATTAGTATCCTTGTGCATACATAAATAATGCCTATGTGCGTCCAAAGAAAATTGCATAGGATAGGGATATCCGGAAAGGATAAGTGTACCCTATAATTATGAGATTTGATCATCCTAATTAGTAGAGGAATGTTATATTGCCAACCTAATGTACAACTAGGTTGACAACACAAGTAAAAATCATCCACAAAAACAAAAATAAAAAAATACGCAAGTGGATGTTTCCACTTTTGTTGTCAATCTAGTTGTACACTAGGTTGGTCATGTATCATTTTTCTAATTAGTATCCTTGTGCATGCATAAATAATGCCTATGTGCGTCCAAAGAAAATTGCATAGCACGAAACTCAGGGCAGTTCTCTGTAAATGTTGAGCATTCTTAATAAAAAGTCATCAACATTTTTCAATTTTTTTCTCGTGTTTCTCAAATCAGACAATCAATTGCCTTACTGTTATTGCATTTCATGTCTATTTTTTTTTTATTTTTTTTTTTCAGTAGAATCATACTAATTGATTGTGATTCATTATGGCAATCCCGTGCAAACTCTCCTGTGTCTTAATGTGTCTTAATGGCAGGAGGATAATGGTGTCCAATTATAGCGTTTCCGAATAAGACATTACTTAGATTGTTGACGTCCATTTATAAGTTAGGGTCTAGTTTATCATTTTTAGGCTTGACAAGCAGTTAATGGATCATTTTCAAAATTTCATATCTTGTTTGTTCTTGTCTTTTTGGGTTCCAGAAACTAAGCAGACGAACTGAAGAGCTACAGGCAGGGGCTCAAAACTTTGCCTCATTAGCTAATGAGCTTGCCAAGCAGATGGAAAAGAGAAAATGGTGGCACATATGAATTCACATTCTTCTCATCTCCACAACACATGCTTTGATTCGTTTCTTT